AAGCCGAAGGGGGAGGAGCACCTTCCTAAAGGATTTGATAACCAAAAGAAATGGTGCAGGAACAATGAGAGAGGTAGGAAAACCAGGAGAGCATGGAGTGTGCAAACGAACAACAAGCTCGCTGTCACGTTTTTAGGCAAGCACTAGGTGAGCATCATCATATTTCCATCTGTGAATAGCAGAATTATAGAAATTTAAAAGACCCTCACACTGCACATTTCATTTTTATTCAAGTGGAAATTTGAACCCCAAATTCTAGACTTTTAGCAAATCCAAGTACTTCCAATTTACCTGAGGCAGTACCAGCTACTTCTGCTCCTTCGGGAGGGACAGTTGTGGGTTTTTCCTGCGTAATTATGTCTAAGGCAAAAAGAGGAGGAAAAAACAGCTATGAACATTACATCAGTCTCCCATCACCAGCTGTCCACTCAGAGTCAGGAGCTTGCCAAACTAATGTTTAGGAATCTGCATCTTTAGAGAGAAGACTTATCCCACTTACACATTGTCACAGCGAGATCTCAGTTGGGCTACCCCTGCAGACTGCTGCTGGGATCCCATTCAGATATTCTAGGGGAAGCCCATAGCAACCCCTACATTGAGCTGCCTACCACTTCCCTTTACAAAAGTTCTCTCTCTCTCTCTTTAAGAGCTCTAAGAGTTCCATGGTTTCCAGCAGGGATGTGAAAGGCTCATCAAAACTTCCTAGAGGAACTTCTAAAACCCCTGAACATGCTGTTCTCAATGACCATTCTCTGCAAGGTGTTACCATGTGCAACTCAGAACTGTGCATCTCCATCCCTCACATCATAATATTCTTTGGCCTAGGAGAAGGTGCACCGTGTTGGGAACCAGGAGATGAGTTCAACTCTCATTATTTCTACTGACTGGTGTTAACAATCCTGTGCCCTTCAAAACCCAAGTTATCACTGAGCAACCCATCCTCTCTAAATAGAAGTTACACAAGCAAGGAAGAGCACCCAGATCTCTTATATGGCAGACCCAAGTCTCATCCACTTAGCCTAACCGAAAGAATTTGCCAAATCTAAATACTTGGCTACGCGGTGTGTACAATGAGGTTATTTGTGCATATATAATCCATTGTTTTAGTGTGTTGGGCATCCTCCTCTAGTGGTTGGTCCATATAACAATTTACTCCTGCTGCCACCTATTATAATTACTTCTTTAACTTGACAGAGGTCTATCCTGCAGTACTTTGGCCCAAGAGTCAAACCTCAATGACACATGGAAGTGGAGGACAGGACATTAGTTTCACATAGACCTCTTTTTTCTTTTTAAAAAGCCCAGAAGTAACATAAAACCCACAGCAGACACAAGTTATTAAAATTGCAAAGCACTCAGTAGTTAGGAAACCACAGAATTAAGGTTACCCATGAGATCTTAATTTTTCCTCCTTGTGTGTATGTGCAGAGACAGCCACTTTTTAAGGATTATATTTCCAACAGCAACCACGTTTCCCACAAGTTATATCTTTAGATGATTAATGGCTAGCTCAATTTCCTCATGTTTATGGGTTTGCCTAGCAATCAAGATATTGTTTTTTCTGGTGGGAGAAAGTAGAACAACAAGATGATAAAAACAGACAGTCACCTTTGCATTCAGGGGCAGACCCATTCCAGACCCCATTGATGTTATCTTTAGTTGTACAGTGAATGGAGGCCTCGCCAGTAAGTGAGAAATTATGGTCACATTTGTAAGTTACCGATGAGTTACAGTCAAAGATTTCCACATTGCTGCCATTGTGTATCCCATTGGCAATATTAGGAGGAGGAGAACAAGTAATCGCTGAAGGAAAAGAGAACGGCATCATGAATATTAATGCACATTTCAGTTAGGGGTGAATTGTAAGGATTAAGTAAACATTTGTTTACAATTCCTCCAAAAAAAGGGGGAAAAATTAACCCTTTGAGAGTGTAATTCATACTCAGTTTTAAAAAAATGTGAGGCATTACCATCTTTAGATTTACAAGCCTTTCCGCTTTCAAACTTTTCTCCACTCCCAACATCCATTCATCTAGAAGATTTTTGGCTCCATTGAACAAATCCCGGATAACAGTCTGATCAGACCACAATGACAAAAGAGTTAAAGCAAATAAATTGGGGAGAAGTTTTAGTAGTGGGTTTCACTCCAAACTAGCTTCAGATTTTGAGTGTGGAGTCCAGGGTTGGTTGGTTTGTTTTGAGGGGAAGGGAGGAGAATTGTTAACACGGAGGAATTACGCTAAATAAAAAAGTTGGATCAAAGACTTCAAAAGCAGCAGAGATTATTTGGTGAGGAATGAGAAACTAATCGAACCCCACCATCCCCGTGTTCAGGGTTCACTTGTGTTTAGGTCATTAGTTGGGTTGGAATCTATACACCAGACAGAAAGCTCAAGGAAAACGATCTGTAGGGATAGAGAGGGCTGTGGGGTTTTTTCTTTGTTTGAAACATGGCTTCTACAGAAGGCACCAGGAAACAATGGATCCTCCTACACTTTCATCATGTCTCCCCCTTCCCAAAAATATCTATATGATTGACATAATCTAAAGTGAGTAAATATAAAATACACATGAAAGCTCTGTAACCAGGGCCGGCTCAAGGTTTTTTGCCTCCCCAAGCAAAAAAAAAAAACCAAAAAATACAAAATATTATACATATATTATATACATATAGATATTATAATATACTTGATATATACACACACACATATCAAGTATTTTCCTAATCAGGCATGCCAGACTACTTCAGTCTAAGACTGCACAAGAAATTCACATCAGTATTAAGATATAGCCTGTTTGTCAAACAGAATATAATACATACATGCAAAGCCTGATACTTGACTACAGCTGGTACCAACATGTATTTTAAAATAAAGTTATATAAGTTTGGATCTTTCCCTTTAAAAAGATGTTTCCCATACAGTTGGGTGCTGTGCTGTATGTAGACTATGAGGCCCCGCCCACATCCCCCTCCAGTATACCGCATGAGTTAAACATCATCATTGTATGAAGCCATCAGGAATTGGGGTCAAGAGATCTACATACAATGACATTCTGGAACTGAACTTCCCCACATTTGGGAGAGTTAATATTAAAGTAGTGAGGTGACCAACCTGCCTAATGCCTCCGAAAAAGCCTCCATCCCAGCTGTTAGACTGGGTAATTCAGCAAGAATAAAACTAAGTTGTTGCAGCTGCTTGAATACCAAGTACATAAATGCATTGTTAACTAAATGCAATAGTGTGCGTGAGCACTGCCATCGCCCAAATGAGGACTGTACAATAACCTTTATTTCCCCCTCCTAAGAACTTCATGGCTGTGAGATGAACTCACAGAGGCCTGAGCCTTCACTGCCAAGGAGCCCTCCCAGAGAGTTCTGAAAAATATGGTTTCCAAACAATCCTGCTTGTAAGGCTCTCTCTCTCTCTCTCCCTCCCCTTTAGCACTGAGTAGTAAGGTACTGGAATAAAACCAAAACCCTAGTTTAAGAGTTTATCTCCAACCTAAAAAAAATCAACTTGTTTGTGACATGAGAATTAACTGCAACCTTGGAACACTGAAGGGAGACAAAAAATACAGGATGGATTAGAGGCAAAAATAATTTCCAGGAATGATTTATGAATTATCAGTCATTCTTTACTTTTCCAACAGTAACTAGTTTCCATGATATGTATTTAGGGGGACTAAGCACTAACTGAATTTCCTCAGGTTTATGGGTTTACTTAGCAATCAAAATATAGTTTTTCCTGGGAGGAGATAGTAGAACACGAAGGGGATAAAAAACAGACACCACTAAACTTTGCATTCAGGGGCAGGCCCACTCCACTCTCCATTGACATGATCTTTCGTTGTGCAATGAATGGAGGCCTCTCCAATAAGAGAGAAGCCCTGGTCACATTTGTAAGTTACCGCTGAGCCAAAGGAAAACTCTTGTACAGTCTGACCAGTATGGGATCCATGGGTGATATCAGGAGGTGGAGGACAAGATATTGCTGAAGCAAAGAATGTCAACATGAAAATTAAAGTTTACATTGAGGTGAACTGAAGAGAGTTTCACTAAGAAAATTGTCTCAGATCCCCCCAGAAAGCTATTTAGCCATTTGGAAGGGGACTTAACATTGCATTTTAACATTTGAAGCAAGATCCCTTTCAGGTTCTGAAGGTTTTTCTGCTTTTAGGCTTGACCCAACCCAGTACGTCCATTGCTCAAGGAGGATGCTTCATAAAACACCGGCTCTGGAAGATGACCTTAACAGAGCGTGCCCCTTCCCAACATTAGCCTCAGGGAGCCAGAACCTCTTGCCCAGCATCTCTAGAGGTAGTATTGTTCCACCAGCAGAAAACTAAGCTAGGACATTGCTTGTAGCAGCAGCTGATTCTAGCCTGGACATCAGCAGCATGATTGACCGACCAAGCCCAGAAAGCATCCCAGAGATTGAATTAAGGTAGAAGCAAATTAATTGTGATTCACTCCAAAAGAGCCTCAGATTTTAAGTGGACAGTCAGATTTGGGAAGGGTCAAAACATCTTGAAGTCATTATCATGCCTTTTTACTTAGTGGACAGCAGGATTACACAGATATAATAGAGAAGGAGCAGCCATGAGGACTGTTGGATTGTGCATATTAATCTGTGCCAGGTGAACAAACTAAAAGGTACTTTTAATAAAAATTGATTCTGTAGGAGTCATCCAAACACCATGAAGAACCACAGTACGATTTCATTCCTCCCCTCAACTCAACTGTCATTTGGATTAAACGCCAAAGTAAGAACAGAGACTCCACTGAAGCACCAGCTATGCTGCATCATCTTAAAACCATTCGATTAGTTTACCTTCGCAAAGTGGAAGCTCTTTATCCCAATCAACTCCATTTCCCACAACCACACATTGGGCAGAAGTCGGTCCATTTAATCTGTACCTAAAGAAAGAAAAAGGGTTCAAGTTTGTTACTCACGTAAGCAAAGAGCTAGTTAACCATCCAGAAAGATGGAACGTGGTTACTTTCTGCCAGTAGGTGGAGACAAACCATTGAAAAAAGGGACACATCTAATACCATAGGACCAAGGAACACTGAGGCCAGGTCTACACTACTCAGCTATATCGGTACAACTACGTTGCTTGGGGTGTGAAAAATCCATACCCCTGAGTGACAGTTATACTGGCCTAACCCCGCCACGTAGACATGGCTATGTCGAGAGGAGAACTCCCGCCAACATAGCTACTGCCTCTTGGAGAGATGGATTAACTATGCTGACAGGAGAGGCTCTCCCATCAGTATAGCAGCATCTTTATATACAACAGTACAGCTGCGCCGTTGTACATGAAAACCGAGCCCTGTGTAGTTAAAGGCAATTAAGAGCTACAAACCAGAAGGTAGAGCTCCCAAATGCATTAGCAGGAGAGAGTCCTTGCTTCTGGGCTATGCTTATCAGATGTTTGGGAATACTTGTTAATCCTCAGCAAAGGGGAACAAATTACCCCTCTTCTAAATTAGAGATTTTTGCACTCCTATCTCCAGTAGGTGACAGGAGGCCCTACCACCTCTGCTACAGAACTCTTCAAATACCCAGAAAACTAGTTAATTTACAGATCACATGACCCAACCCCTACTGGATGATCTCCTGAGGCCTCTAGGCTGGGATCTTCAAAAGCACCTGAGCGAGTTAGGTGCTCATCTCCCACTGAAAGCCACCCAGCTACGGTTGTCAATCTTCCTTCAACTCCTTTGAAAAAATTGCAGGTGTAATTCTTAACAAGGGCCCAGACCATGGCTACAGATTTATAGCACACCACTCACTTATGTTCTTGAAGTTAAGCAGGCTTTCTAGTCTAATTTTGCCAGACTTCACCAGCACTTTTACACCAGTCTAGGTTCTATTAGTCAAAAGAAGCAACTTGCCACTCACCCTTCATTACAGGAGAAGTTTGCTGTTGCACCAAACCGGAGATCCGTGAAATGAACCCTGCCATTTTCTAGTTCTAGTTGTTTACATGGTCTTTCTAGAAGAGAAGAAGACTAATATTAGCGTTACCTCATATTACCTTAATGGGAAAAAGGGGATATGCTAACTTGCACCCTCTAACATAGCAAATACCATGGCAGATAAAAGCCAATGGTCTGGGAGTTCAAGATTTGTCCTGTACGACAGCGGTCAGCAGCAAAGGCTACAGAGGAAATCTTACAACCCACATTATGGATAATTTTGTAACATGCCCAGGGGAAGTGGGGAGACGTGGAATTGGGGTGATGCTTCCTAATCCCACACAGACAGTGGTTGCCTTATATCCTGAATCAAGAGAATTAAGTTCCCCTTGCAGATTTAGTGTAAGTGCAAATATTCCTTTTGTACATGTTAAGGCCCAGATCCTGAAAACTCATATGCATAATTATATTTGTGTGGGTAGATCTATTGACCGCAACTGGCAGCAATTACAAATAAAAAGCAACATAATATATGGGAAAAAGGATAGACGGCATAAATTATGAAAGGTAAAAATCGATATGGAGAGCTAAAGACATCAGTGAAAGAGTCACAACTGGCATGGTTACACACAAGAAGGAGAAGGTTTTGAAGTTTTTTAGGAACAAAAGTAATCCTCCTGTAAGAGAACGTACCCGCGTCCACACCCTAGAGACTGCTGTACTAATTTTTGTACCGAGTATGCCTTGTGAGGTATCTGACCATTTATAGTTTACTGGTCAATACTGTCCTGATAAAATGCATGACAACACCGTTATAAGTTATAAGATTTCCCCGTATAATGTTAACTCATGTTGCAAACCACAGCACAAGTAGGCAAACAGCTCTGTCTCAAAGGAAGGCGTGCTCTGCTTAATTTGCATTTAAGCAGTAAAGCAGTCATGAAGCAGGAAGAAAAAAAAAACTCCAAAAAAAGCAAGGAACAGCAGCAGGGAAGATCTTTCCCTATAGACGTTTTGGCAGCTAGGAATGTTTTCCAAGGGGCAGGGCTGACACTATAAAAAAGGAGGGACAAACACTCCCAGCCACTTCCTCCCTCTCACTCCATCCACTGCACTAGATGAGACAAAGGAAGCAGCCACTAAGGGGTCCTCACCTAAGAAGTTTGGACAGTAAGACTGCTGAGAGTATGTGTTAAGTAAAAGCTTGATTTTGAATTTAACATAGTTCATTAACCTGGGCACCAGTTATGTTTTATCTGGACTTCTCTTGTACCCATTTCGCACTTATGCCTCATTACTTGCCTTCACTTAAAATCTCTTTGCAGTTAATAAACTGAATTGATCTAATCCAGTGTGTTTAAATTGAAGTGTCTGTTAAACTCTATTTGGGTAACAAGGTGTGTGCATATTATTTCTACTGAAGAAATGGAGACTTGATATGAATTTGTATTGTCCGGGAGAGGGCTGGGCAATACGAGACGTATGTTTCTGGAGGGGAAAAAAACAAAACGAATGCTAGGAGTTTGTTGGGGTCACCCTGCAGTATAACCAAGGCTGGTGAGAGCCAAGATGTGGCTGGCTGGGACGTAGCTGGGAGTGACTTGCACATTGGAGGTTATTTGTCAACAGTCCAGACTGGAGGCTAAAGCAGCAAAGCATTGTAACGGGCACCCCAGGTTAGAGGGCAGGGGTGACAGATTCTCCTTAGTCTGGATGATACATTGAGTCTACCACGCCTGGTAACGGTACAAACCTGTTACTAAATGGAGAGGATAAAACAATTATGATGCAGGAAAGGCAGCTGTTTTCAGTAACTATTTCCCTTTTGTAATTGGAGAGAAGCACGACAACATAGTCTCATCACAAGAGTATGAAGAAGTACTTTCATGTCTATTAGTAATTAAGGATGAAGTTCAACTACATCTGCTAGGGATAAACATTGTTAAATCAAACTCTTGGGATGACTTGCACCCAAGCATCCTAAAAAGTTGGCCAAGGAGATCTCTAGCCCACTGATTAGCTTCTAATTAATCTTAGAGTACCAGGAAATTCTTCCATTCTTCTTGAGCGCCGATCTCGTGCCAGTATTCAAAAAGGGCAAGCAGAATGACCTAGGAAACTATACACTAGTTAACATGATCTCACTCAGAGGCATAATAATTTAAAGGTATTGTGGGATTCATTAATTCCAAGGGCAAATCTGTTCTGATCTCTTGTGCAGTGTAGGCCAAATTTTTCGCAATTCATAAGGAATTAAGAACAGAAATATCATTAATACCAATCAATGAGGTTAAGCACATTTGTGTTTGCCGGACCAGGTTCTAAGTGTCTCATCCTTTTTTGAATCCTACCATGTTCTTTGCCTCCATTTTGTGGCAGTATGTTCAATAGGCTTGTTATGCATTTTGTAAATATTTGTTATTAGTTTTCTTGATACATGAATCCTGATTTTAGACAGCTAAAAACTGCACGTTCCTCAGTCAAGCTCAGTGGAAGAGCTTTTCTTTACAATGACCTTTATTTCCCCCTCCTAGGAACTTTATGGCTGTGAGATGAACTCACAGAGGCCTGAGCCTTCACTGCCAAGGAGACCTCCCAGACAATTCTGAAAAATATGGTTTTCAAACAATCCTACTTGTAAGGCTCTCTCTCTCTCCTTCCCCTTTAGCACCGAGTAGTAGGGTACTGGCATAAAAGCAAAACCTTAGTTAAAAATCAACTGTTTGTGACATGAGAATTAACTGCAACCTTGGAATGCTGAAGGGAGACAAAAAATAAAGGATGGATTAGAGGCAAAAATGGTTTCCAGGAATGATTTATGAAGTGTCCGTCATTCTTTAGTTTTCCAACAGTAACTAGTTATCATGATACGTATTTAGGGGGACTAAGCACTAACTCAATTTCCTCAGGTTTATGGGTTTACTTAGCAATCAAAATATAGTTTTTCCTGGAGGAGATAGTAGAACAAGAAGGGGATAAAAACAGACGCTACTAATCTTTGCATTCAGGGGCAGGCCCACTCCACTCTCCGTTGTCATGATCTTTCGTTGTACAATGAATGGAGGCATCTCCAATAAGAGAGAAGCCCTGGTCACATTTGTAAGTTACCGCTGAGCCAAAGGAAAACTCTTGTTCACTCTGACCAGTACGGGATCCATGGGTGATATCAGGAGGTGGAAGACAAGGTATTGCTGAAGCAAAGAAGGTCAACATGAAAATTAAAGTTTACATTGAAGATGAACTGAAGAGAGCTTCACTAAGAAAGTTGTCTCAGATCCCCCACAGAAAGCTATTTAGCCATTTGGAAGGGGACTTAACATTGCATTTTAACATTTGAAGCAAGACCCCTTTCAGATTCTGAAGGTTTTTCTGCTTTTAGGCTTGACCCAACCCAGTATGTCCATTGCTCAAGGAGATGCTCCATAAAACATCAGCTCTGGAAGGGCGTGTCCAAAAGGACAAAAAAGTTAAACCAAATAAATTGGGAAGAACTTTTAATACTG